CGGCAGAAATTTCATAAAGATGTGTGCGAGCGGGCGAAAGAGGTCAGTATTCAACCGACTTGATCACACCTACGTCATATCGGAGTCTGATCTTCCTGACTTCACACAGCTCTTGTTGCTACCCGAAAGCTCCGGGGACTGTAGGGAACCTAGTCCAACTCCTGTTGTAAGCGTTGAGGACGAGCACGGTCAGTCACTGTGTCTATTATCTCAATGTTTTCGCTCAAACGTCTTCAGGGGACCAAATAAGTCTGACGACTGCCGCAAAAGCGTTGACCTCGTACCTTTCGACAATTCCAAAGGAATCCTCCACAACAACCACGGCCGGTCTAGACGTCATCCTGTATTTCGATGAGGCACAGCTGCTCACCCTCAGTGACTCCCGTCCTTCTGGGGCTACGCTCTTTTCCGACGTGCGGCGTGCTCTCCGCCTCATCAGAGCGCTGCCTATCTTTGCTCTCTTTCTCTCTACTGTGGGGAAACTCGAACAATTCTCTCCGCCTCCGCAGCTCGATAGCTCAGCCCGAATCATGCGGTTGGAGCTCGTTCCGTTTGCGCCCATAGTGTGGACGCCACTCGATGTCTTGGCTCAGCGTATCACAAAGAACAAGGTCTGGACGTTGAGGGGGGTTGCATCTACATATCATATCGCCCACCTGGGCCGTCCATTGTCAGTCTCACCGTTCACTGATTTGATTCCTCGCTCCGACTGACATTGCATTCAAAGGTTCCCCGCCATGTACGACGCTGCGATAACAGTAGGCGACCACATGGTCTGCGATTGGATCGTCGACTTCGCTTGCAAGAAGCTCCTCAAGACCGAGCATCTTACGTTTGATTCGATGACGTTTCCGCAAATATTGGCATGCATCGCCGTCCGCATTCCGATCGAGTTCAATCCAGTCCCGCTATCGCGAAGGGATGCCAGCGTAGAGCGCGATCTGGTGGCGGATCACATGCGACTGTTCTTGTACGCGGGCGCCGGGTTCTCACCCATCATCACCACTTCCGCATCAGAGCCGTTGCTCGCAGAGGCTGCGTGCCGTCTGATGATCAGTGGAAGGTGGTCAGACGGGAAGGCACAGAATGCTACATCCCGTGGAGATTTGGACCCGTTGGTGGCCATCACACATTACCTCGGAAACTCCCTCCTCGACCTGGGCGAGAGAGGAGAATTTGCCGCAGCCTTGTTGCTGCTGTATGCGCGCGATTGTGCGACCACGTTTGTCCTCGAAAAGTCGCAGCTCCCCGGATCCTCCTCTTCCTCCTCCTCCTCCTCCTCTTCGGACGATGGTTCCAGTCCTGAGTACGACGGTGCCGTTCGGCGACGCATCGTCACCGTGCGCCAGTTCTTGCAGGCACTTCTAGGAACGGATGGGTCCGAGGCATGCGCAGCCAGCCTTCCCCTTGCATATCACACACGCGACTTCGCCACGACACCGCTCCGGACGGCGTTTCAGGAGGCGTTCATCTACTTCAACCACTTCATCAAGGCCCAGAGCTACGAAGTCGTTCACCAGGCGTATCTCCTCCTCGCCATCTCACGTGGTGCGGCCATCATCTGCGCAAATGGGCACGTCGGCATCGACATCGTCGTCCCCGTCCTCATTGGCACCAGCTTGAAGAAGGAGAACGTGACGGCGATCTTGGTCCAGGTGAGGAACAGTCGGCACTACGGGGCCAAGATCAAACAGCCGGTCTTCGCGAATATGGACCCCTACCTATGCGGCCTGTTCGACCGCGACGTCAAGGAGCCGCCGCCGGTCCTGCGCATGGTCTTTGCACTTGCGTCTCCGGACGCTGCGGTGGCTTCGCCCAGCGTTCCCGTGCGAAAGTCGCGGCACAAAGACAAGACCGCCAACTTCACAGCATACGACATCTGGTGCGCGGGGGCGTCGCACAAGACGTTTGCGGTGATTGAGGACGATGAAGACGCTGCTGTTGCGAAGCTGCTCAAGTTGATACGCAATGCACGCGACGTGTCGGCGCAGACGCACTTGGGTGAGTCGGTGCAGCGCGCCTTGCGACAGATGCAGCCACTGGTGTCGACGAACCGGGAGCACACCGAGCTGTTCTCCGATTTAACTGTGGACATGGGTGAGTGCGCGCTTGCAGAGGATGCTGGGGAAGATGTCGTTGAGTAGTCAGTCCGCCCGTCGTGTTCGACCACTTGTTGTACTAGTATTGGTTTTCTGAATGTTCGATACCACATTTTTCTGTTCTCGCATGTACACAGAAGACTCGTCCCTCTCGGCCTCGCCGACGCAGGGAACTTGATAGGTGAGAGTCACTGAGATGCACGATGTCGCGACGACGTACTTTCCGGCCGCCTCTATGAGCGCGTCCACACATTCGCGCGACAAGTACTCCCTGGGCGTCCATCACCGAGAGGTCTGTCTGGAATGTCGCGGGGCTCTCCATGATGAGCCGTATGCCCTCGGGAAGTGTTTTATCGCAGCTGGGAACGCGAGCTCTGCAGAGACGGCCTCGATCATCTCGTTACTCTCACTTGACGAGTTTACGACGACATCGATAGGGAACGGACAGACAGCACAACAACGGCGAGTCGCATCATGCAGGCCATAGTCTAGCGGTACAACGGCGGGTACACAGCAGTTGAATTATGGCCCGCTTTTAAGACGGACAGAGAAACACGGGCCGTCACCGCCTGCTGAGCCGTCGTAGATATATTCGCCCAGGTGGCTGGGTAATGGGGGAACGGTGAGCATCGATCACCTCGCCAGGAAGCCAGACCGGTCGCTGCGCACCTTACACCCAGGAGCCCACGGGTTGTACGTAGCCGCTCCGACGCCATACACATGGCCCAGTCCGCCGGGAGCCTGTCGAACATCACCATCAAGAAGTGCAGCAGCGCGTCCGAGGTGAGCGTCACGTCCAGACTGGCGTCTCTCGTCAGCTCCTAGCTTCAGCAGGACAACGATCATGCGCGGGCAACGTACTCTGCGTATATGGCTGCGAGAACGTCGTGCACTGTCACCCCGAACGGCCGCGCGACCATGCCCTCGCGCACGGTGTGTCCCCCGATCCGGCCGACCCGGAGCGCGCCCACGGGCACATCTGTGGCGAAGCTGCGTGCGATCAGGGGATGGTCCTTCAGCAGTGTGCTTCCCTGGTATGTGCGCGCCCCGGTGCTGACGGGGCGAAGGTGTGCTTCTTCGTCAAATTTGAAGTCGGAGGCGGCTTTATTGCTGTCGAAGGGGCGAAACGCGGTCTGGACGAGCGCGCGGTGCGTGCTCGGCCGGATGTCTGCCTCTTGCTCTGTGGAGAGCACGGAGAGCGGCTTTACGTGTGTTTCTGCTCGCAGCATGCGCTCTCCTGCCGGCATAGTATCAATGGATGCCATCTTCCAAACGGCCGCGTTTCAGGCGGACTCACGGTTGTACTCCAGGAGTGCCTCGCCGCAGTGCGGGTGCGCACAGAATCCGTCGCACTCGACGACTTCGATCGCTATGTTCCGCCAGTAGCGCAGGTCGTGCACATCGTCTCTGTGCAGGGTGCCGATGCCGCTGTACCAGCATGCGCGCTGCCAGAACTTGTCTGCGTGTTCACCGCCATCGTACAACGCGGCTAAGTACGAGTGTGCCTTGTAGAAGCATACATGAGTGCGGAGATCCGAGAAGTGGATGCAGTCTTTGAAGGCGAGGAAGAGCTCGAGCGGGAGGGGGAGCGCACCGCGGCGCATGGCGACGCAGGATGGCTGATGCAGGGGGGACATGGGGGTTTGGGGGATAGAGGCGGTAAGCGACAGGTAGCGCACACCGAAGGTCATGAGGAGATGGAACGTAATGGTGACGCGCAGGGCAGCCTCACCGCGGACGTGAGCTTGCCTTTGCCGTCGGGTAGCGAATACTGCCGCACGTGATCGCGTTTGGAGGAATGGCGAGATGTCGAGGCCGCGCGCGAGTGGTAGTACTACTAGTAGTTCCTGATAGTTCGCGCTCGAGATAAGTCGACGCGAGCTGCTTGTTGCGAGAACCGTCATGCATCCGAAAGGCACACTTCAATTCGAGCAGAACCGGCTCTTTTACAGTTACATTCATGCTTCTTTTATACGATCTTCACCGTGAATCATGCCACGCTGTGCAGCCAAGCGCACGTTAGCTTACGACGTTACTGTCCTCTATCGCTACTTCACTTACTTGACGATGGCCTCGATCTCGAAGAGGGCGTCGAGCGGGAGGCGCGCGACCTCGACGGCCGAGCGCGCGGGCGTGTGGTTCCCGAAGAACGCGGAGTAGACCGCGTTCATGGCCTTGAAGTCCTCCATGTTCTTCAAGAACACCTGCGTGCCGCGTCCGCGCCTAGTCAGCACACACAGCGTTCAGGCGAGCGATTGTAGCGTGTGCACGTACGGTGGTCTTCACAACCTTCCCAACCTCGCTCCCGCCGGCCTCGATGATCGCCTTCATGTTCTGGAGCGCCTGCTTCGCCTGCTCCTCGACACCACCCTCAACCTGTGCCCAACGTCAGCATGGTGGATGGAGAAGAGGCGCGCGTGGGTGACCGCGACTGACCATCTTGCCCGTAGCGGGGTTGAGTCCGAGCGAGCCGGAGAGGAAGAGGAGGCCGCCGACACGGACGGCCTGGGTGTACGGACCCACCGCAGCAGGAGCGTCTGGAGAAGTCGTATACGTAAGTATCGTCGGCCTGGCCAGGAGATCGTAGCGAGACCGATCGCGACATGCTTACTGGGTGTGGAAATGAGAGACAGGGAGGGGTGGGTGCTGGTGCTCATCGTGCGTCGGGTGTGAGTGGGGGCGCGTGTAGTAAGCAGGGCAGATACGGCACGAGCAGGGGTTCGTCGAGCTTGAGAGAGAGAAGAGAAGAGGAGACGGGCGGGGGTGGGCAGGACCGTGGCCATCCCGATCGCAAGCCTTGACTCGGACGCTCTCAAGCTGCGACTTGTCCATGTGCGATTCGTGCCATCGCTAGTGGAGGCACATCATAAATCGGCCCTAACGTTTGCATATTGGGCGTCGTCTCTGTTAGTATATCGGTTAGTACACGCGCTTGTCATAGCCTGCCTATCGTACTGGCCGCGCGAAAGCGGGGTTCGACTCCCCGACAGAGAGATAGCGCTTGACACTCCAGTAAATTTTTCTCCTACTCACCTAGGTTCTACTCAGTAGGGTGATTTTGAAGTAATGAAAAGTGGCTCCACCTAATGCAAAGTGGGGCGGTTTTACCTTGGGTAAGTGGAGCGCTCCTAATGTAATGTAAAGTCACTTTTCATTACTTCAAAATCACTCTAGTATGCTGTCGATGGCATGCATATTCTGGTCTCAATGCGAAATTCGTTATAATGGTGGCATTCATCATGACTATAGGTTTGTAACGGGATTATGCACTGCCTGCAATATTCCAAACACCATGCAGAATATCCCGTCTAGATATCCAAACAACTTGCAAAGAAGCCGAATGCACAAAGGTGATACACACACCCAGGCAGCTTCTTCTGGCGCTCCACGAGGCGAATGATCTCACGGAAGACCGACTCTACACCCCAATCCCGCTCGCCCACTCAAGCACCTCGACGCGGTCGCCAACACGCACGACGCCCTCCCCGCCGACGACGGCGTTGCACCCGAAGCACGGCTTGCTCTTCTGCATCGGGTCCTTGTTCGCGCGGAACTTGAGCAGCACCTTGTACGGCACCGCCGCGTCGCGCGCGCCCGTCTGCGTGTCAACGTTTGGAAGCTGCGGAGTATGTGGGTCAGGCACGGTACAGGGGCGGGCTGGACATGCTTACGAGGCAGCGCGTGCACTTGGACACGAGCGTGAAGGTACGGGCTTCTTCGGGCGTGTGGTCGTCGGGTGTGGAGGCGGGGTGGATGCGGATTCGTCGCCACATGTCTTCCGCGAAGGGCACGCCGGAACCCTTGCAAACGATGTTTGGTCGGAACCTGGGGCGCAAGATGTCATAAGTCAGGGAGTTGGAGCTGCTCGCCACAGGACCAACCTCTCGATCTCAACCCCGCCGTCCCGCCAGCGCTCGCGGTCGATGCCGCCGATCCGCGCAGCCGGGCTCTCGTCCGTCGCGAACGCGCTCACGACGCGGCCCACCTCACCCAGGCTCTCCTCGCTCGCGACGAGGAACGGGTAGCCGTCCTGGAACTTTGCCGTCTCCTGCAGCGCGGGGAACGCGGTCGTCGGTGGGCACGCGCGCGCCGCGGGCCCTTTCATGACGAGGTGCACGGACCGCGCGAAGTAGTCGGAGAGGATGTCGGAGGGCGTGCGCGCGTCGGGGATAGGATCGAGCGTGGAGGCGACGACGTAGCCCTGCACGAGGTACTTGCCGAACATGCGGCAGTCTTCGATTCTGTAAGGTGTAGGTCGTTAGTGGGAAGCGAGATGCAGGTGGTTGAGAGTTGAGGGGTTACGTACATATGCCAGTCCTCGAGCATTTGTTCGGTAGGGTAAAGGGGGATGGAAAACGTCTCTAAGTCTGAGTCCTCGGGGAACGCAACGACTAGTTTCCCGCCGTATGGAGAGGTGGGGTCCACTTCGACCAGGGGTGTTATGAGCACCATCTGACGCATTATAGATGAGACGGGTGCGCTCATTCTTAACGTTGTATTCCGACCTTTGCTACCTCTCTGGCAGTGATGATAGCATGAGAGTCTGCGTCTATGATACACCACTTCCTGTCATTCTGCGAAAGTTGATTAGTATCACGCTGTAGTGCCAGGGAGCACTGTAGGCGGTAAACCACCGCGTTACAGCATGCTCTGATGCGAATTCGCAGAGGGTCTAACCGCTATAAGGGGAGCAATGACTCAGCCGCAGGTAGAGCGCCGAACGGGTACCTCCTCCCCCAAGGAGTCTACCTGCTGCTGGTTTAAACACCCCGAAGTGCACGAAGGTATAACCCACCTCGAGACCTTCTGGTGTGTACCGCGCCTCCTGCAAGGAGGTTCCGCGGCAGCTCTGTATATAAACGGCGTTAGCCACAAGCACGTACCCCTAAGTAGGTAAACCGACCTTGATAGGATGTACAAGGATTTTGGCGACCCGGACGTCTTCCACATCGAAGGGGACGGTAAGTTCACGCTCGAGCGTGTACGCATTGAGGACCGTGCCCTGCGGCAAGTCATCCTTTAGCTGCTCGGGCGGACAGACCGCGCGGGTCCCGTTCGCGAGTACGCGTGTGCGCGCAGCGGACTTCCGCGAGAGGGTCCATAGGAGGCCAGCGAGCGAAAGGACGAGTACGGAAGCGGTACTGGTCCAAGAAAGCGGGCCTGGTGGTGGAGCATCCTCGTTCGAGGGGGCATGCCAGAGCTGCAGCAGCTCGTTCAAGGAAAAGGAAACTGCCATCGCACGTCTACCGCGGGCGCCTCCTCATCTCCGTACCACATCTCGGGCGGCTAAACGCTACGGCGAACGCCGAATGCGATCGGTGCCCACCGCCATCGACGTCGCAGGCTTGCGCTTATCTTAAAGTCGATGCTCGTCCGCTTACTCGACAAAGGGACTGTGCAAATATTGGTATGACTCTGTGTACACTCCCCGGAACGACATGTTAAAGGCTGTTTGTAGGATATCAAAGAGTAGAGGTGATGAATTTGAAAGATAGACCCGTACACGTTATCTACTACCACAGTAGTAATTAAAACACAAGTAAGTGTACGAGCGGCGCAAAACCAAAAGCACGAGCGACACATGTCATGCGAGGGTAAGCGCATCGCAAGATACATAACACAAGTGCATCGCAGACAGTCCACAAACAGCACAGGGTTCGGGAAACCTATGTCGGCCATAATGCGCTACGCGGAAGCTGGCGACGTTCAGCGGCCGTCCGTCCGGCATCGTGTCCTGCCATATCCAGTCCACGACCCGCTTCACGGTCTCGTCCGTGAGAAGCTCGCTAGTGAAGCCCACAAATACTCTCATAAAGGCGGACGAGGGGATTGCTTGATCGGCCGGCGGAGAGGTGCACATACATCGTGAGGGTGCGAGCTGGTGCATGTTCTCGACAAGCTCGTCCTCGCGGACAAACTGGGGTGCCTGGCCCGATGGTTCTGAGGGCTCGTCCTCACTGGCACTGGCTTCGCCGGTGGGGAGGTGCTGGTGGACCAGGTTGACTGTGATGCACGATGTCGCGGGGATATACTTTCCGGCCGCCTCCACCAAGGCATCTATGCGTTCGCGTGACACCCCCCGGGCGTCCGTCACCGTAACTTCCACATGGAATGTCGCAGGGCTCTCCGCAATGACCCCGATGACCTCGGAGAAACGTTGTAATGCAACTGGGTAGGCGAGCTCTGCGGAGACGGCCTGGAGGTGGGTCCGGTACGGCTTCAGCTGGTCCAGCTGCCAGCCCTCGCCCAGCATTCTGATGAGCCATTGCCTGCGTGCGGGATTGTCCGCTGATGAGATGCTGTTGAGCAGGACCTCCTTGGAGTATTGATACCCGAACAATGCGATCTCCGTTATAGGTGCTGTACCGACCACAATAGCGCTCCGCAACTTCTCGGTGGGCTCGGGGAGTGCAAAGACACGAAAAGTCTTCAACGAGAAGGGCGGCAGGAGATATATCCACTCGTATAGGTGCTCCTGGGGTAATGGTGCGCAGTGGACAACGGTCAGATGGCGCACATAACGGCGGAGGCGCGGGTTGTTCATAAGGGTACGGGCAAGCGAACGCGAGAAGGGTGAGGAGGTATGGAGAGAGACCTCCCTGTAGGATGCCTGCGCGGCGTTCCGGTGCCACTGTGCACAAACGAGTCCCGCCTGGGCCGCGTCCGCGGGGTCGAGGTGGGAGAAGACCTCGTACAAGATGTCGTCTGGTAGCCATGGTTTGTTCTGAGGTGGTCTCTGAGTGAGCCGCGCGAGAGCGAGTCCTACGGCGTGCAGAGATGCGAGGCCGAATCCGACCACCAAAGGCCCGACGGAGTCGGGTTCGGTATCGATGCTATTGGAAATCCGTCAGCCTATTGAGATAAATTCATTCAGGATACAAATATTACAATTCTTACATAGTTGCACCCGGTGGAAACCGCCACGGGTCTGCCATAGTCACGCCGCTGGATAGATAATCGCTGACACTCGCGTGTGAGTGTGGAACGATTGTGCGTGTTGCAGTTAGAGACCAGGCAGACTTTGTATGAGTACGTATACGTAGCCAGTGACTGTGCGTAGAGAAAGCTAGGCTTTGCGTTGGACGTTCAGTGGAGATGGTGGTAGTTGTCCAGGAGGAGGAGGGCTGGGAGATCGAGATCCGATCAATCCCTAGGACTCGGATGCATTAGCGCCAGCCGTACTACCCGCCGGCGCCGCATATATACTTTTGAGCTTATTCTCGCAAGTGCTTCATTGTAGCCATGCATGTGCTTACAATCCTGCAGCAGGATGAGCGACTTGGGTCGATTCCTACCGTGGTATTGATCCCATGCAGTCGAGACCGTGACCATCATCGTAGTGGAATCCTAGATGCCGTACGGTTCCACTTGTATGTCGCTCGGGGCCTGCGACGAGTATGAAACAGAGCACGATAGCAAGCCCGTATGTCATGGTGACACATATTTCGCCACTGCTCCTTGGAGGGCATCGCCTATCCTCTCCAGTGCCCCGCTATGCTCCAAAAATAACATACGCGTCAACTCCTGGCCAGACCATATACAGTGCTCTTTTGATCTAAGGCCTCGTGAACTCGCAGCGAACCCAGAATTCTGCTCGCATTATTACACACAACACACGCAGAGCACACACCAGTCCAGGATGACTACTCCCGTTTCTTACAAGACCAACCAGCCCAAGAAGCTGCGGCAGCTCATGAAAGAGAGTACGTATCCCATCTCCCGAGCCGATATCGTCCTCACCTCTTCGCCCCGCGCACAGAGGACTGCGTAATCTGCCCCGGGGTATTCGACGGCATCTCCGCACACATCGCAAACACCGCCGGCTCCGACGCGCTCTACCTCGCGGGCAGCGGCGCCTCGGGCTCCGTGCTCGGCGAGCCCGACCTCTCCGTGATCACCTCCGTCGAGCTCGCGCATGATCGTGAACGTGTGCGGCGCGCCCGTCGTCGCGGACGCGGACACGGGCTTCGGGGGCCCGCTGAACGTCGCGCGCA